ATTAATTTACCGTCGTCTATTTCAGGAAGATCGTCGAATATTTCCAATTGATCTTCATACATTTCCTCGTCTGATTCCTCAAGTGGTCTTGTTTCTACCACTTGAGGCACATATATTTGAGGTGTTTTATATTCATTTTCCGGTACATAGGGTTTAACAATCTAGAAAAAAAAACACAATCACTTAAAAAAAAAATACAAAACATTTTTATTAAAAAAAACAATAAACTTACAGCTATTGGTCTGACGAATAATTGTCGTCGTACTTTTATTTTTTTGTATTCTTCAATTTTTTTTACTTTGCCCATTTTTTATATACGGATTTAGGTTTTTTTCTGAATGGTTTAACAACTGCAACAGGTTTTGTATAAAATTTAAATACATTTCGCCTTTTTTTATATATTTTTTTTATAACGCTAGATTAACTTTAAACAAAAGAAAATAATCTTTTTTTTTTAAAAAAAATTTAACAAGATTAAATATGTCATCATATTAATTATGACGTTATTTATGACGTTATTTTTATGGATGGGAACGGGTTGGGAATGGACGGAGAGCTATAATCAGAGAGGGGTAGATCATCAGTGGTTCCACTGTATAAACTTACCATCCATACATTTATCTTTTTTTCCATATGTTTTAAGTTGGATAAGTCATATTTAAGTAAGACAGTAACGAGTTGTCTTATTTTAATGTGGTGGATTAGGCATAAACGAATCATTTAAAATGCTTTTTCAACAACTTGCGATTTGCATAAACATCGCAAGTTACAAGCAACAACTTTTAAGAAATTTTGATTGCTTTCTAAAGCAAAAGAAACATTAGTCGTACAGTGGCACCAGTTGTAAAAGTCAAGTATATCGTCTAGATTAGTCAAGTATATCATCATACACTGCAGCTGAATTTGAAACTAAAAAATTAACACTATCTTATTTTAGTTAAAGATAATCTTAGATTTTGAGATATTATTTTTCTGCATTCAACAAAATAGATATTAAATTATAGCTTCAAATCAAGATATAAAATAATTCTGCAATTTTCTTTTAATACACTGTACTTTTTTTATAATTGAGTTAAATTTGATTTAAGTATGATAGTGATGCAATATTTGGTAGCAGACTTTGGCATCACCTTTATTGCATCAAGTATATTTTTTTTATTTGCTATTATATAAATTGCAATACAGCATAATAAAAATAAACTTTTATATACGAGCTTTTGAATTTTAGTTTAAGAAGCTTTGATATACTAGCTATTTTTAAAGTATTTATTAAAATCCTAATTTTTTTTACTGATTAAGTTTTTTACTTATTAATAAAAATAGAAAAATATTTTTGCACAACATTTATTGTTAGTATAGCACTTGTAAAAAAGGTAGAAGTTCTACTGTAGCGTAGAATATGTGATATGCACATAGTAAGGTAAAATCTTCTACGTTCTAAAAAATTGTATCTTTAAAAGTAAATTTTTTTTTCCTTGTAAGGTAGAAAATTAAACAACAAATCACTATTTTTAATATAATTTAGGTAATAATTAAGATATAATTTTCTCTCTAAGGTAGATAAATATGCTATATTAAGGGTATAACACATATCTTTAAAGATACCAACATTATCTAATTTAGCTTTGAAACCATTCAAAATGAAAAAATTGTACCTGATTTTTTCTTGTTTCCGGAAAAGATACCAGCATAGTGTAAAGAGTGATATATAAATTATCAACTAATCTAGATAAGTAAACTATATATAGAATATAGAGTTTATTAAGCTATATTAGCTAACACTTTAAATAAATATACTCTGAATATAATACAAAGTATTTATACCCATATGCATCCATCAAGTTATACAGTCGATAAAATATTTGCATCTATAACATATTTTCATATAGTGCATATAACATAAATGCTTATATGATATAAGCTATATGGTTGAATAAGCATATTTATACCAATACAAACTCTGTCACATAACTACATTTACCAACAGTTGATGTCTTTATTTTATGCTATATTCATCATTTTTATTCGGAATACGAAATATAAATGCAATCCAAAATATTAAATTGAAACTGAATAACCAAAAAAATCACAATTTGTTCATGCCATTTCAATATTTATCCCAGAATATATGTAACTTATCTATAGTGATATACAATGTTTACAATTTGATGCACTCTAACGTAGGCTGAGCACTAGTATCGAGAGGAACTTAGGTGTTTTAAGAAAACGGCCCGCGTTTCCAGACTAGTTAAATACTATGACTATGATAACACTTAACAAATAAAAGTTAATACAAAAGAAAATTTAGTATTATTAAAATTAAAAATAAAGATAAAAAGATGTAAAAACGTAAATTAATAAAAAAACTTATAGACAAATTATTAAAAATTTTTATAACATAAGAGTTCTTTTGTAAGTTTAGGATTTAAAAACAGAATTAAAAATCAAAAAAATAAAATATTGAAATTATAAAAATTAAAATAATAAAAAATTGCAAAATTAAAAAAAACATTTTTTTGAAAAGTCTATATTCTTTATATTTAAAGATAAAGATAATTCTACCAGTAGCTTAAAAAAGCTACTGGTAGAAATTAAAATAGTTGAACTGCTTCCCAGCACCCCTCTTTCTAGCAATAGTGTCATATGGGGCTTGTCTTCTCCATCTAAAGGAGGGATCATATCCCCCATATTGACACCACCGGTAGAAAGCCCTTTGAGATATCAGACCTGGGTGCTGGGATTAAAAAAGTAATGTAAAAATAAGGATACGTAATGTTTAAATTTCATATATACCTACACAAATACACATAACACCCATAAAACTGCATAAGCATGCAAAACAGATTACCTGATGGTCCTGCAGATATTGTTGCTATTATAGAAATAAATAAAAAATATGAACTAACACATATATTAAACAGTTATGTAATTGCATACAAACATGAAAAAAGTAACGTTTAGGTTTCAATTCACATAACACTGCATAAGTATGGAAAAACTGCATAAGTATGGAAAATACATCACCTGGTGGTACTGCAGTTGATACTGTTGCTATTGCTGAAATAAATAAAAAAGTATATAAACAAACACATTAAACAGTTATGTAATAGATAACAAACACAAAAAAAGTAATGTTTAAGTTTTAATACACATAACACTCATAAAACTGCATAAGTATGCAAAACACATTACCTGATGGTACTGCAGATGATATTGTTGCTATTGTAAAAGTAAAAAAAAAAGTGCATAAGGTAACATATGTTAAACATTTATGTAATTGCATGAAAACATGAAAAAAAAATATTTATGTTTCAATACACATAAAACCCATAAAACTGCATAAGTATGCTAAACAGATTACCTGATATTACTGCTTGAGGTGTTAATGTAGAGACAAAAAATTAAATAAATAAAGTGATGTGCAAAATAAGATATGCAATCTTTAAGTTTTAATACACATAACACTCATAAAACTGCATAAGTATGCAAAACACATTACCTGATGGTACTGTAGACGATATTGATGCTATTGTGAAGGTGAAAAAAAAAAAAAAGTGTATAAAGTAACAAATGTTATACATTTATGTAATTGATAACAAACATGAAAAAAAAAAATGTTTAAGTTTTAATACACATAACACTCATAAAACTGCAAAAGAATGCAAAACACATTACCTGATGGCACTGTAGATGATATTGATGCTATTGTGAAAGTAAAAAAAAAAAAGTGTATAAAGAAACATTTGTTAAACATTTATGTAATTGATAACAAACATGAAAAAAGTAAGGTTTAAGTTTCAATACTTGTAACACTCATAAAACTGCATAAGTATGCAAAACACATTACCTGATGGCACTGCAGATGATTTTAATGCTATTGTAAAAAATAAAAACAAAAAAGTGTATGAAGTAACATATGTTAAACATTTATGTAATCGCATGAAAACATGAAAAAAAAGTATTTAAGTTTTAATACACATAATACCCAAAAAACTGCATAAGTATGCTAAACAGATTACCTGATATTATTGCTTGAGGTGCTAATGTAGAGACAAAAAAATAAATAAATAAAGTATTCTGTAAATTAAGGTATGCTATCTTTAAGTTTTAACACACATAACACTCTTAAAACTGCATAAGAATGCAAAACACATTACCTGATGATACTGTAGATGACGCTATAGTGGAGGTAAAAAATATATATACATAAACTAACATATACTAATCAATTAAACAGTTTATTTTAAGTGGAGAAACCACACACAAACATCAATAAATGTGTGCTAAAATTAAACAAAATGAAACATAAGTGAACTTTGCTTACCAATTGAATTTTCTAATTTTTCTAAATAGAATGTAAAAAAAAAACTCATTAACATTAAGAAACTAACATGCAGAATATTTGTCAACTTTAGGAAATCTATAAATAAAGTTGGAACAAAACAAAAGCCAAAAATAACATTCACAAAACAAAACAAACCAAAAAAAAAAAAAAAAAAAAAGAAAAAAGTGACAAAAAAAATAAAAAATAAAAATAAAGAAGAACATTATAGTAACTTACTTAGTTGTTGAAATATAAGCCCTATAAAAAAAAATGCTAAAAATTGTATCAAAAAAGCTAAAACACCAAAGAGTAGACCTTTTTATTTGAAAGTAAAATGCTATATCTTTATCTATAATGCACAAATGAAATATAATCAAATTCTGTTTACCCATTGAATGTTCTACTTTTTCTAAATAAAATGAAAAACTTATAAACATTAAAATAAACTAACTTGCCATATATAGAATAACTTTATGTTAAATAAATATGTAATAAAAAAAATAAAGAGCATGACAACAACAATAACAAATTGCTTACTTAGATTCTCAACTGAATCTTCTAATTTTTCTAAATTAAATAAATTTAAAAGTTACAAAAGTCACTTGCTGACTGACAAACTGTCACAACTGACAAAAGTCAGTTGCTAAATAACTTTAAAAAAACTAAAAAAGCTTAACTGTATTTGCACACAAAAAAAAAAAAAAAAAACAACAAAAAAATTCCTGACTTAGCCTGTCCATTACTTCCGCTAAACATTAAAAAAAAGTTATAATTAACAAATTGCTGAAAGTGGTGAAGTATATATCTTTGTAACATATCTTTCTCATACAAAGTTAGCTTACTTGGCAAGAGCTCTTCGGCTCTGATCTCTTGAACATCTAATATATATATAGACAAAATTAATTTTCAAAATAATCACTTTTTCAATTAAACATTTAAGATTTGTCTTAAATTATAAAACTGTTGCACAGTTTTATAATTTAACATTTATAAATTAATCAGTAAATGACAAAAAGTTTCATTTTACGTTAAAGTTTAGTAGTTAAAAAAAATAAAAGTCTGTTTTAGCTTAAACACGTTTTATATAATTCAATTAAAAACGGCTAAAATAAATCATCGTTTTATTCACACGTGAATCAAGTACAGCTCCGCCACTTTTAGAACATATGTAACTGCTACTATATATAGTATATATAAATGGTTTACTTCGAAAAAATGCAGAAACTTCTTCGTCACCTAAAGATATACAAAATTATCTCAATGTAATTTCTTAATAAAATAATAAGCTAAATATCTCAGTATTATTGACGTATCATCTCTTTTTATCTCTTTAATTAATTAATGTTATACAAAATAAAAAGAATACCTTCTGTATCTTGGCTGCTCATTTCTAAAAAACAATCTTAATGTTTATTCTTGGGTCAAAACATAATAAATTCAAACATATTAACATGGTAATTATAAAATAAGTTTAATTTTTTAAATCAAGATTACAATAATTAAACTTGTAGATACAACTTACTTGTCTTCCCTCGCTTTGCAATTGTTATAATCGATATGAAGACCACATGGCCGAGTTTTATTGGTTTTAGAGTACAGTTGGCGCACATATCATAATACAAAAATCAGATGGTTTTGAATCTATTAATTAAGCTATTTTTATTAACGGATTTGGTGGATTTAATTAGATAACCGCAAGGTAGAATTACAGTGGTTTAAGAGTTGGCGTACGTTTCGTAATACAAAAATCATTTAATATTTGTTTATATCTTAGTATTCGAGCATTTCTATTAGCGGATTAGGCGAAATTTTGTGGATTTTCTGTTTGTCATCTTCTGGAGTAACTAAATTTTTGTTTTACGTTTCAGAATACAATTTTTTTTTTCATACCTTACCGTACTTTTTAGGACTCTTGACCAGTTATTTTTAATAAAAATTTCAGTTTACATGTAAAACCTTTTTTTTTATATATAAGAAAGAAAGTTATCTCTTTAATGTGTGTTGAACTCGCAGACTTAACTAATTACCTAAAACATAAGTATCTCTATCATTATATATGCGCTACAAATTTCCAACAACGTTTTTATGTTTTTAGAAATTTTAAGAAACGTTTTAAAAATTTCTCTCCGTTTGGTTTGTTGTTGTATATTATATCTTTATTTTTATGTAATGCGTATAACATCTATATGCATTTAAACTTGTTTTTCTTTGTCTTCTAGAAAACTGGAAAAGATTTTTAAAAAAATTGTGTAAGCAAAAGGCTTTGAACCCAAGCGAAGCACTTCAATCGCTTTGGAATGCTATATCATCTTTTTACACTATTTAATAAACAGAAAACTTATTAAACTTTAAAAAACAACATTTAATGCTTTGAAATAAAGAGATATTGTCGCAATGAAATTTTTAAGTAAAAATAAATCGATAGAATTTGATGTCATCTACTTTATAATAATACTGATTGATAATTACAGAACTTAAAGTTTACATATTTATATATTTGAATAGACTTTCGTTCACATTAATAAAATACAAATCATTACGGATTATGGTTCCGAAAAAAAAGGTTAATACACTACCATCTATAATTATTGGAAAAGTCATTTTTAATATCAAAGATATCAAAGTTTGGCGAAAAAGTGAAAACAATGTCTACCTGAATTATTTGTTTTTTTCCTATTTATTAGGTTTACAAATAAAACTTCCCTGATTAGTTTATAATTTATTCAAAACACTGATTAGCTTTTAATATATTTGCCTATTAAGCACCTTTAACAACAATAACCGCCATAAATATATTCTTAGCATGCTACTTAACGACTTATCTAATTAGTCTATTTTGTCACTAAGTTTTTTCAACAAAAAAAATACGCATGTATTAACTGTATATCAATTTATTTATCTATTTAATTTAATATATATAATATATAATTTAATATATAAAATTTAATCTAATTAATATAATTGAAATACTACTAACCAATTTACTGATATTTTTTCTATAGCATTGTTAAAAATGGTTATATTCTGAAATGTAAAAAACTTTATTAAAAAGAAAGTTGCACAAAAGAAAAAAAAAACTAAATAAAAGTTATTCGTTTCAAAAAACGTTTTACGAAAACAATTTTATTTTTAATTGCGTTTTTTTTGAAATACGTCATACGCATATTAAGGCGTTTTGAAAAACAGTTGCTGCATATATTTATAGTAAAAAAGTTAATGTAGCAAAATAAACTTTTAATTGTCAAAATAAAGTTTTAAAGTTTTATCTAGCTACTGGCTTTTTTTTTTTTTTTTGCCTCCACAGCAGCATCTTCTGAAGTAGCAGGGCTGCCTTGTTAAGTTTTTTCTTTATTAAGTTTCAGACAACTTTTTTTTTAGACCATCCGCAGCTTATTAGGACTAATTACATGAGCACATTATTAACATAAGTGTCTCAATTATCATAGATACGCAACATATTTTTTTTCCTGGTGATGTTTCTTTTTTTTTTTTTTTTAATGTTTTAGGAAGTTTTAGCTTTCTTAAAATCTTTTCTTTTGTGAGTGCATAACATCGTTACGTTACATATGTTTGTATATAATCTTTATAAAACTTTGAAAGAATTTTGTATTTTAAAATAATTAAAAAAATTAAAAAAAATATAGCCGCCAGCGGTAGGAGTCGAACCTTTAGTTCCTTGTTCAGATGTTCGCCGCCTTTTCCACTCGAGCTACAACGGCATATCAACGTTTATGGATTTTATTACAATCTAGTAATTTTTTTAAATAAAAAATGAAAATTGAGAGGTTGACGCAATGTAATTTTCAAGTAAAAATCAAACTGTAAAACATAATAAATGTTTCAGTATGTTTTAACATATGCTTTAACATTACTTAGTTTAAAGTTTACGTACGTTAGATATTCGTTCACGTTTTCTTATAGTGCTGCGACTCTTTCTTGGCAATACCTCGGTTGCAATGGCTGCCAAGGGTTTCGTGTCAAATACGCTCCAAGGGACACTATTAAGTTTGCTATTATTATATATATGATATATATATATATATAAATATATATATATATATATATATATATATATATATATATATATATATATATATATATATATATATATATATATATATATATATATATATATATATATATATATATATATACTCTTGATTCCACTAGTTGCGTTTTACCTGACATAGCCGTCAAACAGGTTGATCCCTTGCTTGACATTCGCATCACTTCAGCTTCTGTATCTAAAGTAATTTCCTGCTTAGACTCTTCAACAGCTTGTGGTCCTGACAACATTCCTGTTGTAGTCTTGCAGAGGTGTTCTCCGGAGCTTTCATCCATACTTTCTAAACTATTTAACAAGTGCTTATCAGAGTCTTGTTTTCCATCATGCTGGAAAGCAGCATCTGTTATCCCTATTTTCAAAAATTCCGGAGAGCGATCTGATTCATCTAACTACCGTCCCATTAGTCTTCTTCCTGTCATAAGCAAGGTTTTTGAATCTTTAATCAACAAACACTTAATCTCTCATCTTGAATCAAATAACTTACTTTCTGATCATCAATATGGATTTCGGTCTTCTCATTCTACAGCTGATGTGCTAACAGTAATTGCCGATAGGTTTTACCGTGCACTAGATAGAGGTGGAGAGGTTAAGGCTATCGCACTTGACATTTCTAATGCTTTTGATAAAGTTTGGCATGCTGGTCTTCTCCATAAGCTTTCTTCTTTTGGTGTAGCTGGTAACGTCTTTAAGATTATTGAGTCCTTTCTTTCCAATCGTAGTATAAAAGTTGTCCTCGATGGACAACACTCTTCTTCACATCCAGTAACTTCAGGGGTTCCTAAAGGTTCAATCCTTAACCCTATACTCTTTTTAATTTACATTAACGATCTTCCAGATATTCTCACATCTAAGGTGGCATTATTCGCTGACGACACTACCATTTACTCTTGTCATGATAAGAAGCCTACACTCTCTGATTGCTTGGAGGGGGTATCTGAGCTTGAGAAGGATCTCACTTCTGCTACAGCATGGGGCTCACAGTGGCTGGTGAACTTTAATTCAGATAAAACTCAATTTTATTCCGCCAATCGTTATCGTAATAATTTAGATCTTCCTATATTTATGAATGGTAATGTACTAGATGAGTCATCTACCATTCATCTTCTAGGATTAACTCTTACTTCTGATCTTTCTTTTAAACCGTATATCAAATCCATTGCAAAATTAGCATCTGCTAAGGTTGCATCTCTTTATCGAGCTCGACACTTTCTTACTCCAGATTCTATTCTCTATCTCTATAAATCTCAAATCCGTCCCTGTATGGAATACTGTTGCCACATCTGGGGCGGATCTTCTAATGATGCTCTTTCTCTTTTAGACAAGGTGCAAAAACGAATTGTAAACATAGTTGGACCTGCACTGGCAGCCAATCTCCAACCTTTGTCACATCGTCGTAATGTTGCTTCTCTTTCTCTTTTCTACAAATACTATAATGGGCACTGCTCTAAAGAGCTAGCGTCCCTTGTGCCATCTACTAAAATTCATTCTCGTGTTACTCGCCATTCAATTAAGTCTCATCCTTTTTCTGTGACTGTTCCTAAGTGCTTCAAAAACTCTTATTCTTCTAGTTTTTTTCCTCGAACATCAATTCTTTGGAATTCGCTTCCTTCATCTTGCTTTCCTGATTCATATAATTTGCAATCTTTTAAGTCATCAGTCAATCGTTATCTTGCTCTACAGATTTAGTCTTTTCTCTTCCAGTAACTTCCAACTCTTATAGTGGTTGCTTGCAGCCATGTTGGAAGTGAAGATGTAAAAAAAAAAAAAAATATATATATATATATATATATATATATATATATATATATATATATATATATATATATATATATATATATATATATATATATATATATAATATATATATATATATATATATATATATATATATATATTTATATATATATATATATATATATATATATATATATATATATATATACTAGCTGAATTGACCCGTAAAAATACGGGTCTTCGTAAGTCTATTCCACACAAACCTTTTGCTTTATTTTCTTAATCTAGCTGTCCGTATCGGTAAATGCAGGTCTTTTCTTCTACTTCTATATTTATCAATTCCACGCCAATCATTTCTTTACTTGTTCTTTATTTACTTCAATATTTTTTAGTAAACTGTGGAAAAAAATTCATTAAAAAAATTTGCTTTAAGAGCAAAAAAAACTTTAACATACGAACTTTTTCCTCATGCGTATATAGCTTATTAAACCCCGTTTATTTATTTTTTTTAAAAAAAATTCTGAACTAAACTACTTCCTACTTTTAGACCAGCCATGGACCATGGTTTATGGTTGCGTCCTAGCCATATTCAATAGTTCACTATATTTATTATTATTATATGCTTAGTTTTGAACAATAACGGTCTTTTATAGTTATCTTTGTATTAGACGGAAACGGTAATGCAATTCTTTAAAACGTTAGTCGCTTAAAACGTCAAAAGTCATGCAAAAAAATAAATTATAAATTTTGTGGTTTAAAAGTTGAAAAACTAATAATATTATAACAAAATATTCGGTAATTTTTAAACGTTATTATTTAGCTCTTACTTATGGTATTTATTTTGTTTTCATTTTACATTTTTAAAAAAATGTTGAAGCACCTAACTACATGCATAACTTTGATAGCTCACAAGTTAAGTGCGCAGTCATCAGAGTCGCTGTGCAAGACTTCAAATCCGCGCCTAAAAAATCTCAATACATTTTTTTAAATTTTTTTAATCTGGTTATATTTATAGCAAAAATTTAAATATAACAAAAAACCTTTTAATTGCTTTTTTTTTCCCTGCCTCCACTGCAATACCATGTGGAGTAGCACGACGGTTTTATCAAATTTTTTCCTTATTAGGTTTTAGGACCTTTTTTTTTAAGACTATCCGTAGCTTATTAGGACCAATTATGCGAGAACAGTATCAAAATCGTGACACACACGCAAAAAATTTTCGCCACGTTTATTGGTGTTTTAAGAAATCCAAAAAATTTATAAAATTAAAAAAAAAAACGGTTAAAGTGTATAACATTTAACTTGTTTAACTTCACAAATATTTTGTAATTTAAAGAAAAAAATCGCTGGCGGTAAATTTGAACCACGACTATTACGTTCAGAGGCTTAGCGCGCTAACCACTCGGCCATGCTGACACATCAAATATCGAAATTTTAAAAAAATATAAAAATTGTTTTTAACGGAATTGCTGTAGATCAAAAAATTAGGAGAGGTTGACGCAATGCAATTTTTAAGTCAAAGTCAAAGTCTAAAACTTGAAAAATGTTTCAGTATGTTTTATCATTACTTATTTACGTACGTTAGATATTTGCATACACGTTTTCTTCTAAAAAAAAGTGTTGCGACTCTTTCTACTAACACTACTATTAAGTTTGGCATTATTATATAGAAGATAGATAGATTATAAAATAGTTTTTCACTTAAAAGGACAAACTCTATTCCACATTAACCTTATCTTTATTTCTCACTAATATTTTTTAGTGAATAATAGATTATGTGCTAGAAAAAAAAAAAAAAAATTCACATATGCACCTTTTCCGTATATTTATATTTAGAGCTTAACATGAAGAAGGTAAATCATTTAGTTCAAGACAACCTGCCCAAACCCAAATCCTCTGTTGATTTATGCACACTCACTGTCGCTAGGCGTGTAAAATAAGTAGCTAGGCAAGTCAAATAAATTAACTTGATCTGTTTTTCTGCATAAAACAAAAACAGAAAATGTGAAGTACTTGATATAAGGCACTTTAATATTGGATTTAGTTAATTCAATACAAAGTGATAGGAAACTGCAAAATAAGGTAGCAACGTGAAAGTTATTCAAATACTAATTTACAACAATTTGTATTGCGTTTTATTAAAATAGCTTTATTAAATAGTATGAAGATTGATGATTCTTCTTCTTCGCCTTTAGAAAATGATTAACGATTTGAAAGACTTTTAAATTGATTATAAAAGCATTATCTAAAAATGAAATAAAATCATTATTAATAACACTGAACGCACCTTTATTTGTTTTATGTTAATTCATTTGAAAAATAAAAAATACGAAACGAAATTTAGTAATATTAAATAAATATTAGACACTTACTTTGTGAGGGTGCTTTTGTAAAAGTCTCTAATATTTGGTTGGAAAGCTGGAAATACTCTTTTTTTAAAAAAATTCAGTTTTATCAGCGTTGCTAAAAATAAAAATTCCTACTGACACAAAAAAATATATAAAGTAACATATTTTAAAAATTTATGTAAATGATAACAAATATGAAAAAAGTAATGTTTAAGTTTCAATACACATAAAACCCATAAAACTGCATAAGTATGCAAACTACATTACCTGATGGTACTGCAGATAATATTGATGCTATTGTGAAAGTAAAAAAAAAAAAAGTGTATAAAGTAACATATGTTATACATTTATGAAATTGTTTACAAACATGAAAAAAGTAATGTTTAAGTTCAATACACATGAAACCCATAAAACTGCATAAGTATGCAAAACACATTACCTGATGGTACTGTAGATGATATTGATGCTATTGTTAAAGTAAAAAAAAAAAGTGTATAAAGTAACATATGTTATAAATTTATGTAATTGTTTACAAACATGAAAAAAGTAATGTTTAAGTTCCAATACACATAACACTCATAAAACTGCATAAGTATGCAAAACACATTACCTGATGGTACTGCATATGATGACATTGGTGCTATTGTAAAGGTAAAAAAAAAAGTGTATAAAGTAACATATGTTAAACATTTATGTAATTGCATGAAAACAGTAATGATTAAGTTTAAATACACATAAAACCCATAAAACTGCATAAGTATGCTAAACAGATTACCTGATATTATTGCTTGAGGTGCTAATGTAGAGACAAAAAAATAAATAAATAAAGTAATCTGTAAATTAAGATATGCTATCTTTAAGTTTTAACACACATAACACTCTTAAAACTGCATAAGAATGCAAAACACATTACCTGATGGTACTGCAGATGACGCTATAGTGGAGGTAAAAAATATATTTACATAAACTAACATATACTAATCAATTAAGCAGTTTATTTTACAGTGATAAAACCGCACACAAACATCAAAAAATGTGTGTTAAAATTAAACAAAAAGAAACATAAGTGTACTTTCCTTACCAATTGAGTTTTCTAAATTTTCTAAATAGAATAAAAAAAACTCATTAACATTATGAAAGAAACTAACATGCAGAATATTTGTCAACTTTAGGAAATCTATAAATAAAGTTGGAACAAAACAAAAGGCAAAAATAACAATCACAAAACAAAACAAACCAAAAAGAAAAAAGCGACAAAAAAAATAAAAAATAAAAGTAAAGAAACAATTCACAAGAACAATATAGTAACTTACTAAGTTGTTGAAATATAAGCCCTATAAAAAAAATGCTAAAAATTGTATCAAAAAAGCTAAAAGACCATAGAATACACCTTTTTTTTTGAAAGTAAAATGCTTTATCTATAATACACAAATGTAATATAATCAAATTCTGTTTACCCATTGAATGTTCTAATTTTTCTAAATAAAATGAAAAACTTATAAACATTAAAATAAACTAACTTGCCAAATATAGAATAACTTTATGTTATAAATAAAGAATAACTTTATGTTAAATAAATATGTAATAAAAAAAATAAAGAGCATTACAACAACAATAACAAATTGCTTACTTAGATTCTCAACAGAATCTTCTAATTTTTCTAAATAAAATACATTTAAAAGTTACAAAAGTCACTTGCTGACTGACAAACTGTCACAACTGACAAAAGTCAGTTGCTAAATAACTTTAAAAAAACTAAAAAAGCATAAATGTATTTGCACACAAAAAAAAACAAAAAACAACAACAAAATTCCTCACTTAGCTTGTCCATTACTTCCGCTAAACATTAAAAAAAAGTTATAATTAACAAATTGCTGAAATTGGTGAAATATATATCTTTGTAACATATCCTTCTCATACAAAATTAGCTTACTTGGCAAGAGCTCTTCGGCTCTGATCTCTTGAACATCTAATATATATATATAGACAAAATTAGTTTTCAAAATATTTACTTTTTCAATTAAACATATAAGATTTGTCTTAAATTATAAAACTGTTGCACAGTTTTATAATTTAACACATTCAGTAAATGACAAAAAGTTTCATTTTACGTGAAAGTTTAGTAGTTAGAAGACTTAAAAGTCAATTTTAGCTTAAACACGTTTTATGAAATTATAGCTTAAACACCTTAAATAAAGCTTATACGCGTTTTTAAGGTTCACTGCTTTACAAAAACATCAATCAAAATAGCGGAATAAACAAAAACTGATTTTTGGGTCCAGCCTTTTAAAGTTCTAAAAATTAATTTATATATTTTTTAATTTTAGTTAAATTTTAGGGGGGTGTACTTGATTCACGGGGTTAGGGGAGGGCGGCATATCTTGGTTGATTTTAATTAAAAACGGCTAAATTAAATCATCGTTTTATTCACACCGTAAATCAAGTACAGCTCCGCCACTTTTAGAACATATGTAACTGCTACTATATATAGTATATATATATGGCTTACTTCGAAAAAATGCAGAAACTTCTTTGTCGCCTAAAGATATACAAAATTTTCTTAATGTAATTTCTCAATAAAAAAATAAGCTAAATATCTCAGTATTATTGACGTATCATCTCTTTTTATCTCTTTAATTAATGTTATACAAAATTAAAAGAATACCTTCTGTATCTTGGCTGCTCCTTTCTATAAAAGAATCTTAATGTTTATTTTTGGATCAAAAACATATTAACTTCAAACATATTAACATGGTAATGATAAAATAAGTTTAATTTTTTAAATCAAGATTACAATAATTAAACTTGTAGATACAACTTACTTGTCGTCCCTCGCTTTGCAATTGTTATAATCGATATGAAGACCACATGGCCGAGTTTTATTGGTTTTAGAGTACAGTTGGCGCACATATCATAATACAAAAATTAGATGGTTTTGAATCTATTAATTAAGCTGTTTTTATTAACGGATTTGGTGGATTTAATTAGATAACCGCAAGGTAGTTTTACAGTGGTTTAAGAGTTGGCGTACGTTTCGTAATACAAAAATCATTTAATATTTGTTTATATCTTAATATTCGAGCATTTCTATTAGCGGATTAGGCGAAATTTTGTGGATTTTCTGTTTGTAACCTTCTGGAGTAACTAATTTTTTTTTTTAGGTTTCAGATTACAATTTTTTTTTTCATACCCTTCCGTACTTTTTAGGACTCTTGACCAGTTAGTTTTAATAAAAATTTCAGATTGCATGTAAAACCTTTTTTTTATATATATGAAAGAAATTTATCTCTTTAATGTGTGTTGAACTCGCAGTTTTAACTAATTACCTAAAACATAAGTACCTCTATCATGATATATGCGCAACAAATTTCCAACAGCGTTTTTATGTTTTTAAAAATTTTTAAAAACGTTTTTAAAAATTCTCTCCGTTTGCTTTCTTATAGTATATTATATCTTTATTTTTATGTAATGCGTATAACATCTATATGCATTTAAACTTGTTTTTCTTTGTTTTCTAGAAAACTAGAAAAGATTTTAAAAAAAAAATGTGTAAGCAAAAGGTTTTGAACCGAAGCGAAGCACTTCAATCGCTTTGGAACGCTCTATCATCTTTTTACACTATTTAATAAACAGAAAACTTATTAAACTTTAAAAAACAACATTTAATGCTTTAAAATAAAGAGATATTGTCGCAATGAAATTATTAAGTAAAAATAAATCGGTAGAATTTGATGTCATCTACTTTATAATTATACTGATTGATAATTAAAGAACTTAAAGTTTACATATTTAGATATTTGAATAGACTTTCGTTCACATTGATAAAATACAAATCATAACGGATTGTGGATCCGAAAAAAAAGGTTGATAAACTACCATCTATAATTATTGGAAAGGTCATATTTTTTAATATCAAAGATATCAAAGTTTGGCGAAAAAGTGAAAACAATGTCTACCTGAATTATATGTTATCTTCCTATTTATTAGGTTTACCAATAAAACTTCCCTGATTAGTTTATAATTTATTCAAAGCCCTGATTAGCTTTTAATTTATTTGCCTATTAATCACCCTTAACAACAATAACCGCCATAAATATATTCTTAGCATTCTACTTAACGACTTATCTAATTAGTCTATTTTGTCACCAAGTATAAAAAAATTTACTGAATATCAATTTATTTATCTATTTAATTTAATATATATAATATATAATTTAATATATATAATTTAATCTAATTAATATAATTGAAATACTACTAATCAATTTACTGATATTTTTTCTATAGCATTGTTTAAAATGGTCATATTCTGAAAGTTAAAGAAATTTATTGAAAAGAAAGTTGCACAAAAGAAAAAAAAAACTAAATAAAAGTTATTCGTTTCAAAAAACGTTTTACGAAGAGTTTTTCCAAACAATTTTATTTTTAATTGGGTTTTTTTTTGAATTACGTCATAAGTATTTTGAAGGCGTTTTGAAAAACAGTTGCTGCATATATTTATAGTAAAAAAGTTAATGTAGCAAAATAAACTTTTAATTGTCAAAAGAAAGTTTTAAAGTTTTATCTAGCTACAGGTTTTTTTTTTTTTGCCTCCACAGCAGCATCTTATGAAGTAGCAGGGCTGTCTTGTTAAGTTTTTTCTTTATTAAGTTTCAGACAAACTCAGAAAATCTTTTCTTTAGTGAGTGCATAACATCGTTACGTTACATATGTTTGTATATAATCTTTATAAAACTTCGAAAGTTTTTTGTATTTTAAAATAATTAAAAAAATTAAAAAAAAACAGCCGCCTTTGGTAGGAGTCAAACCTCTAAGTTTCTTGTTCAGAAGTTCGCCGCCCTATCCACTCAAGCTACGCCGGCTTGATGATATCAAGTGTAGATTTTATAAAAATGTTGTAATTTTTTTGAGGAAAAAAATGTTAGATCAAAATTAAGGAGAGGTTGACGCAATGTAGTTTTCAAGTAAAAATCAAACTGTAAAACGTGATAAATGTTTCAGTATGTTTTAACATATGCTTTAACACTACTTAGTTTAAAGTTTACGTACGTTAGATATTCGTTCACGTATTCTTATAGTGCTGCGACTCTTTCTTGCCAATACCTCGGTTGCAATGGCTGCCAAGGGTTTCGTGTCAAATACGCTCCAAGGGACACTACTACTATTAAGTTTGGCAATATTATATAGAAGATATATATATATATATATATATATATATATATATATATATATATATATATATATATATATATATATATATATATATATATATATATATATATATAATCGATTATAATAATAAAAAAAAAATTTCACATAGGTTTTAACATTGATTTTATAGAAAATATTTTATAATATATTTGTCTATTTTTCCTTTAAAACATCTTTTTGACTTTATATATATACATATTTTTTTTTGTTTTATAAATTTTTTATTTTTTTCGTGTTTTTTGGTTTTATGTCTTTGTGCGGAGAGAAATCGAGAATAAGAAAAGGTTTTAGAAGAAGTTCATCAAGTTGAATTAATTATTTTTAGTCAAGAAAAAAAAAGTTTAAGTAAAATAATAATAAGGTACAGGACTTTAACACAAATACCGCGTTACTAAAAGTTACAAAGAAAATTGCAAATAATATTTTATATAAGGGCCGGCAGTGTTTGTCTAATCATAAATAACAATATTTTTGTAGTAATTATAGAACTTATATTTGTAGAAAACAGGAAAAACTTAACTAAACACTTAGTTCTTGTTATAAGCCAGTGTATTTGTTCAGCTCATATGTTTTGTTTTATGTTCCCATTCTCTATTTGACAAAAAACGTTATTGATACAAAAAGTTTGACAGATTTTTTTCACCTATTTAGTGATCAAGGTTGTATAAGTTTTATCTATATATTTCAATAATGATCACATAAATATTCATCATGCTTATTTTAATTTTTTTATGATTGCGGTTGCAGCAAGAATTCGACCTTTTTTATCTTGTGTAATGTGTTCCAATTTTGTTTCTTTTTTAAATAGAATAGCAACGCCACATTCGCGGCGTGCTCAACTATTCCGTATAGAAATTCCATGGGTTTTATATTTCCACTCCATCGCCCATTCATTCGCAGTTATATTAGAACTATGAGTTTCTTTTATACAGAAAATATTGTCATTTAACTTTTGAAAGAAATTCATCAAGTTTTTTCTTTTGGTCTTAATGTTTAGGCCATTAATATAGTTGGTTAGAATTTTTACATAGAATAGTTACGCGACCAAAAAGTTAAAATGTAGTTTCAAGGGATTAATAAAGTAAAAATAATAGCGTTCGAAAAAAGAATTATCTATTCCAATTTTGGCACACATTTTTTTCAAGAAAAGTAGTTTTTATAACAGTTTAGTAAGAAACTAAGGTGTAAAAACAAAATTAAAAATTTAAATTAAAAACAAATTAATAAGTGATTTCTTACGTCACTCTTCCGACTTCGTTTTTTAAACCATCTGACTCGACCATATCTTCATACCAGTTTTTATTCGTCATTGCGTCTTTGTTTAGCCTTTCGTTTCTAATGCTTCGTTTACTTTCTCCGCTATCGTCCATTGTAGATTTTGTTTCTTCACGTCTCATTGTGCCTATCTTGCATAAATTTCCTGGTTCTTTTATTTCA